AAAGATGAAAAGTTGCATCAACCATATCCAGGGCCGGCCCTGAACATTCAAAGGGCCGAAGCAAAGCGTTAATTTGGGGCCCTATAATTTTACATATCACTTGAAAAGATAAAATCAATTTAAAATAGTTATTTAAATTTTAAAATGATAAAATTTACTATTATTGTTTTATATTTAACCATTTACACAACAAAGAAAAAATAGTACACAACAATCTAGAGTAATAAATTAATTGAACGTATTATCACTTAAACATTACTGTTTTTGCATTTGTAGTTGTAAAATTGAATCAAGAGCTCTTGGTTGAGATTCAATATTAGTCAATTCAATTATAGAGATTTCAATTTTTAAGTAAAGTGAACAAGTAGTTGAAGTAAAATTTTGAAATGATACAAAATTTAAAGTCATCTAGATGAAATATTAAGACCAAAGAAGTTCAATATCAAAATGGTGAATTGGGTAGAAGAGCAGTTTGGTAAAGTGAAATCAATTACATAGAGCCCTCCTATAATAATAAGAGTATACTATTTTTAGGTTTGGTATTAAGCGTTGGACATAATTGGGTTTTGGTAAATTAAAATTAAAGTAATGAGAATCATCCACGTATAACAGCTGTTTTGTTTTTTTGAGTTTGGCGTTAAGAGCTTAGAGTTAAGTGTGATCAAAATAATTGAGGCTTTTCATTTAATTGAGGTCTTAAGAAAAAAAAAATTACCCAATATTATAAGAATTTTTTTTACATGGGACCCTATTTTTCAGCTCAAATGGAAGACCGAAGCGGCGGCTTTGCCAACTTGCCCCCAGAGCTGGCCCTAACCATACCAATGTAGTCACGAAAAGTTCATTAAACTAAATTTTTGGATACGAATATTTTTTCTGCTAACGAAACAAATTTCCTCGATAATGATAAACTTTCAGAGATGACAATTTTTGTCATCGATACTACTTTTTGTGATGAAATATATATTCATTGAAATTGGCCGTCTATCATACACAAAAAAGTGTCGTCACCTATACCCTTATTGCAATGAAAATGAATTCTTCGCATATGACTAACATTTGCGACAAAAAAAAATTTCCCCAATTCTTTAGCAACAAAATGAAAGATATTTGTGATGAAACGGGCTCTAATTGGTGACAGTATTTTTGTCAATGAAATTATGTTCTTTTGGTTATTAAAAATGCATCATTTTTTTTTTTCTTTCTAAAAATGCTGGGAAAACCTTTTTCTTGCAGTGTGCCTAATTGGTGTGAATTGTAATAATAGTTTTACATTCTCTCATTGGCTCATTGTTAACCATAACTCGAGTTTGACATTTTTTATTAGGCCACATATATGTATTTATATGCCTACATGTTATCAAAGCAGTGCATCTCTTTGGTTGCTTATAATAATTTTTAGCTATATAGCATAATCTTTCACACTTGAAAAGAGAAGTACATGAGATGGTGGTGTTTAGTTCAGTTCCACATAAAGTTTCTTCTGAGAGTATTATAGTCATTCACTGCTGAATTTAAGGATAAAATCAGAGGCTACTAGTGAAGGTAATCATATAAAAATATATCATGGATATGTAAGTTGATAGAGAGGATAGGCAAGCTATCCCAGCCTCACAAGAAAAGCATAACAAATATATATATATATATATATAAGAAGAAAGCATAAAGAGTGAAAGTGTGAAGGGAGAATTGATGCCCACAGGGCCACACACAAAGGTGGATTGATTATGTTCAGAGAAAGGTATCAAAGAAAAGATAGATCAAGAAGAAGAATGTCATTGCTATTTAAAATACCTTTGCTTTAGCTTTAGCTTTGGATTCCCCTCTCCTTCCCACCCCTCATGAAAATGACAGCAGCATTCAACAATACAAAAATACACAACAAAGTCTAAAGAGATGACAAGAGTAAGTAAGTAATTGCCACTACTAATCTTATCACTATCATTTGTCGCGTTTACTCGATTTCCAGATCCAAATGCACTCATTGTGGCTTTATTTATATCAATGAACAGAGTATCATTTTAAAAATAATAATAATAAAATTCCTAAACAAAATGTCTGCTATTTTGTTAGCTCAGACTAGAAAGTCAGATTTACCTCAATAGGGAGGGACCCATTGTCCCACAATGGATGAAAATGGAGTTACCATGACTTATAAAAAATCAGGGAAATTGGAAAAGTAGTCTGAAAATAAGAAAAAAATGTGGTTTAGATTCAAATTTAGTATAATTTGGATCACACCCAGAATGAATCTTGTCCAATCACTTTATTTTCTGAAAAAAATTTCGAACTCTGTAGCATTATTGATCCTCACATAACAATTCACCACCAAAAGATGAAAGACATAAGTTAAATCCACTTTATTCAAACATAGTATAGTATATATTAATATAATTCCAAAAGCAAATGAATGTAGAATTCCAAAATCAATCGAATGAGACACCAATCCATATGTACCTTGTCAACATCAGTTCACTTTATTAGTTCATAATAGTATCCAGCAAGGCAGCCTTAGGAAATGGTAAAGTTCAAGCCTAAGCCTTTATAGAAAGATCAAACAAACAAGGAAGGTGGATGAAATTGTCCCATCTCCTTTACACTTTGAGTTTTTCTTTTGTAAAAGAAGCATTCTATCTAGATTCTAGATCATACTTTTGGTTTGGGAAGAGCCAAACACACACATGGAGATGGAGGTGGCCTGCCTTGGGGGGTAAAGGAATCTCTGTCTAGGTCATGTTTGGCTCAGTCCCTCCCCAACTATAAATAAACTTAAAAAGTCACTAAAAACACAAAGCAGAGGCAAGTATATATGAGAAGCATTTTGTGTCACAAATAAAAGAACAGATATCAGCTTAACAAGGAAAGGTGTAAAACTGGTTGATTGTTTGAAGACTTATATGCTTATGCAGCCAACTGAACTGAATGAAATTCAGATGGATCATTATGCCAAGACTCTACCTCTACCTCTACCATCATCGTCATCATCTCCAACTCCAAGAAGAAAGTGGCTTGTGTTGCTGCTGATGAGGCTTGCAATCTTGGACTTGGTTTTGTTCGCTACACTTGCAACATCGCAGGGTGATCAACAAGCCGCCAGCATGCCAGCAGCAGCAGGTTTGGTCTGTATCAGTGAGTGTGGAACTTGTCCTGTTATATGCTCACCGCCACCGCCACCACAAACACCAGAATCAAAGCCACCACCATCGCATCCGGTTCACCACTCACCACCACCAGAATCTTATTACTCACCGCCACCACCACCGCCATCTCCTCCACCGCCATCTTATATTTCATGGGGCTACTCCAATCCCCCACCTCCTGCTTATAAGAACTTTCCTTCTGGTAAGGCGCCTCCCAATATGGGACAGGGCAATTACACCTATCCTTATTACTACTTCTATGCATCCAAAGCTACTTCTCTTTCTCTTCATTCTTCCTTTATCCTTATGGTATCACTGTCCTTTCTTATTATCATGTTGGATCTTCAAGTGCCAAACTGAAATGGTTACAAGTATGTTACAAATAGTAAAGATGTAAATTTAATATATAAAAAAAGTTAAGTGTTTGATTTTGTAATTATAAAAAAGTTAAGTATGTTACAATTTGTGTGTTACTAAATTTATTTTGTAATTATTAATTGTCTTTAGCGTTATCATAATAAAATATTCACTATGATGTGCATTTGGATAATATGTTTGAAATCATAATTAAATCAATGAATCAACTCAAATGCTTCCTTTCTTTTCTTTTCTTTTTCATTTTTTTTTTTTTTTTTTTTTTTTTGGCCAAGTAAGAATTTTTTTTTACCCAAATAAATGATCTCTAATAATAGCTTTGCCATGAAACTCGTCAAAATTGCATGATAAATAGCCAGTGTCGTTATCTTATACATGGTGTCCACATGAGGGTAGTTTTAAATAAGTATCGAAATCGGTGATAGGATCATATATCAAATAATCAATGTATCAATAAATTATGGTATCGAAAGGTCAAAATTCTGTTACGTATCTAAAATCAAATTGTAAATCCTACATGTTTTCCTTGAAAGACTTGATGAGTGTTTCCTGTGTGATGACCTGATAAATATATATACTAAAGTATCTATAAATTGAATAATAATACATGCACCAATTAGTATACTAATTAGTATACTACCAGATGATTTGATATCATTTTAGAGGTTTTGAGTTTTTGTAACTTGTATAATGAGTGTGGTCATAATCTTGAAATGACAATATCATAACATATGTTGTTACACTAATTGGTATACCAATGATGCATGTAACACCACCGCTATAAATTACCCAGAAATGTCTGGATCTTGATTTGTAAAGAGAATAAAAAAAAAAAACAAACTAGTGAAAAAATCTATATCCCTCTACAACTTAGTTTCTGTTTTATTCAGTTTTTCATTCACTTTTTTCTATCGCTCACAAATTTCTCCACAAATTTAAAATCTGAACAGGAAGAGAAATTCCTTGGGAGTGTTTCTTTATTTGAAGGCAACCTCCCTTTTTATATTAACTTCCACAAAATATCTGGGACATAGGCAAATGAAACATTGACTCTTTTTTTTGTATATTGAAACATTGAGCTTATTTGGTGTAATTTCTTGTAAACAAAAATCTTAGTCATAAAGCAAAAGCTAAGCTTGATCAGTGTTTCCTGCATGACGATCCTTTTATTTTATTCTATTCTATTTTTGGAGTTTCATCGAGTTATTTGCTGATTTCTGAAATTGTTTCAAAAAAATTTCTGTTAATTTCTACAATTTTTGTTGCGGGAAGATGAACATGTTTCTGAAATAGAGTTGGGAAGATGAATAATGTTTTTGGACAACTTTGTTGAGCTGGCACATTTAGCTATGGCACAAGCTTGTGCCAAATATGGCACAAAGTATAGCATTGCTAAAATATAGCAAGCCTTTTAACCAGCCAATTAGAGAAGAAAATTTTAACTTGATGCTAATATTTAGAAATAGCAATCTTCAAACCTCATCATTGGAGAAAAGCTCTCTTATTGATCAAATACTGTTTAAATCATCATTACACTAGAAAAGCTCTTTCTGATTGCCCCCAAGCCAAGTAGTAACCCCACTGCCAATGGTTCAAGATGACACAACAATACTTCCTATACAAATGGCTACAAACTGGATGGACAAATGAAACTTGATGAAAAAGAAGAATCAGGAGTGGAGTATCAAGACTTCAACCAGAGCTTTCTAAAAGCAGAAACAACTCCTTCAAAGCAATTCTCTAAAAGCAATACACACAAAGCATGTTACATAATTAAGCACAAAGGTTTGCAGAAGCCACCACTACCACCACTTCCTGACTTTATTTTTGGTTTGGTGGGCGGGGGTGATGCTTTTAATTGGTCTTTTAGTCAGCAGTCCAGCTCTGCCCCACAATTCAGGTTTTTTTTCCCTGAACATATGAGCTGCTTCAGAATTTGCGGGGGAATTCGGGTTTGGATCACAAAGCAGTGACTGGAGAGAGAGAAAAAAAAAAAAAAAAAAAAAAAAAAAAAAAAAAAAA